CACCGCTGTCCGCCAGTGCCTGGAGGCGTCGTCCTTTGCATAACACCTCGAGGAATAGTGGTGCCTACTGCACTGAGTAGCCAAAGAGGGTCTCATTACTAGGATCATAGGGTACATCAAAGTGAATACCATCCCTATTTCCTATACCTGACTCAACACTTTTTTCTTCCAACTTCACCTGGGGGATAGGAGGATTTTTCCGAGGCTTGTACAACTTCTCATGTGCCTGGAATTTTCCTCTTCGCCTTGGCAGCTGTGTAGGCTTCACCTGTGGGCAATGGGGAGCCTTAACACTGGGCTGCGGGGAGAGAATATTAACTCCACGGAACGCACGACCCTTTTCTACGCTCCGTAGTACTTTGCCCAACTTCCCAGGTACCTGAATAATTTCTAAAGGCTTTTTCTTGGCCTCTAAATCTCCCCTGAATTTCTCAAAGGCTTGAAAACCACGAGAAGCAATATTCTTCGTTAGAGTATCTTTATAGGATACTTTTAATGAATTCTTACTTTCGTGGGTGTTCGGCTGGAGTTTCCCGGTCGGTGCAGAGTCTTTTTTCACGGAGCCTTCATTCGCCTCGGCGATTTCCCCTGATGCCAGCCGGTCGTGATGTTTTAGATTCGCGCCATCATTTTCTCCTTTCTTCACCCGCTCCGAAGTCGCCACGTCGTCGCCTTTTCCTGCTTTTCGGGTCTTTACGCGATCGCCAGGTCGATCCGCGGCTACTGGCGATTCCCGTTTTTTTACTTCGGGGGTGCTCCACTGTTACCGCCCTGCAGTGCCGCGCGTGCCTTTTTCATTTTGTAGCACGACAAAAACTGATGCCCTGCTGCGCCGCAAAACTCGCATTTTGTCGGCTGCTGCTTCGCGTCGTATTTGTCGATGTCCATCGGTTCGGCGAACGTGGGGGGTGCCGATCGCTCCGTGCCGAATGTACGGTTCGTCATGAAGCGTCGTGTTTCGGGTTGACCACGAGTCAATGCGTCGTATCGCTCGGCAACACGCACGATGTCGCGGTAACTGTTGTAATTCGCTGCGATGACCTGTCGGCGAATCTCCAATTTTAACCGTTCTGTGTACGCCTGGATTTTTTCGCCTTCGGTCAGGTCGGTGATGCGATTGAACAGGAGCTCCATTTGCTGCGTGTGCTGTGCTACACTACTGTATTGCTTATGCCGATGAATCTGCTGCCGCGCCATGTAGGTCGTATTAAACTGCTGCCACGTTTTCTCCCCGCGGGCCACGTCAGTGTAATAAATCCATTCGAGTGCCGGTCCACGTAACAGCGTCGCTGCGAGCCGAATTCTTGCTGCGTCGTGTGTCGGGGTCGAACAGCCAATGGCCTCGAAGTATATTTCAAGGGTTGCCACGAATCGTCGGACGTCGGATCCCTTCGCGCTGGGATCGAACGCTTCAGGGAGCCTCGGTCCTGCTGCTTCGAGGTTCGGCGACAGTGGTGCCATCGGTCCATGAAATGTCGGTGTCGCCACTGCTGCGGGTGTTGTCGTTGCTACGTTCGCTGCTGCATTCGCTGCTGCTGCGGTGGTGATTCCTGGTTGGTGTGTCAGAAGGGCCTCGAGTCGTCGTAGCGCCGCCTGCGTCTGCTCCATGTCGGTGCGGAGGCTCGCGATGTCGCTCGTGGTCGCATAGTTGTCGCCTTGGCCCTCCATGCCTGACATTGCGCGTCTGAAAAACCGAAACGAGGGGGAGCGAAAAACACGGAACCGGTTTTACGTGCCCGAAATTGATGTTTAACTGCGTCGCCTCCGCGGTTTTTTGAAGACTCAGTTTTAGCGGTCGAAAAACTTTCGCGTGTAAACGGCTCTGATTACCAAGTGTGAGGATCTAGGATCGAGCTCAAAAAAGAGAGTTTGAATTAAATGAATCACCTGGATACAAAACGAGGCTATATATAGGCTCGACACAAGGCACAGTAACCAGGTGTTACGCGAAGGTTCTGAGGGTCGCGAAGCGTCCCGAACAGACCCTTCCCGAATTCGGTAGAACTATAATAAAGTATAGGAAAGTATAGGACACACAACCTTAGCTCGGTGCTATAACTATAATAAAGTATAGGAAAGCACCTAGCCTAGGAAATCAAGCAATTCATGCATGCATATAATTATCCTATGCTAGAAATAGCATATAAAGTAAAGGCAAGCAAGCATAGCTGGCACAAGCCGTCGTACTCTCACAGGGCTCGTGCTTGAAGGACAGGGTCGAGTTGTCCTCACTGGACACGCAGACGCTTCTTGAGTTGACGACATGGCTACGCAGTAGTCGTCACAGGGTTACACTTTCAGCCTTGGCTTTGGCTCCGTTTCGTGGCGGTCTACCCGCTCGTCTTCTGTTCTCAGTTCCAGTTCTGAGGCTGAGATCTACGCAGGGGCCATGGCTGCACAGGAGTTACGCTGGCTTACCTACCTGCTGACCGACTTGGGAGAGCCGCCTCGTTCTCCTCCAGTTCTGTACGTCGTCAACAAGGCCATGATTGCCTTGTGTCTGGAGCACAGACTGGAGCACAGGACGAAGCACATTGCTCTGCGTTACTTCCTTGCTCGAGAGTTGCAGCAGCCTGGTCAGCTTCGTCTTGCTTACATGGCCTCTCGGTCCAACACTGCTGATATCTTCACCAAGGCACTTCAGCCTTGTGATCATCAGCGTTTCTGTACTGTTTTAGGCCTTGTGCTTACTTGGCCTCACTTGCTCACTTCTTGACTTTGCTTGTACTGTGATCTATATACTTATACCTACATGCTTATACTTGCTAGGTTTTGATCACTGTACTGCTTGTTCTCCATTATATAACTCTGCATGTGAACTGGCCTTGTGACCACTTGCTTGTGCCCAGAGTGTGTGGTGACTTCGTGATCCACCCTGAGTTTGCTTTGCTTTTCTTGACTGGTCTTGTTACCCCTTGTTTCTCCCCCACTTTGCCTATGGGGGTGTCTCAAATTATAATGCTGCTTGTGTTGTGTAGGCTGTAGTGGGGTAGCCTATATGGGGTACAACCCAATTAGGGTTAGCACTTGTACCACGATTCTGATCAATGCATTCATTCCTGCTCGTTAGTTTCCGATAGTTGAGAGTGGTGCGGGTGATATGTTGAAGCGTTCCCCCAGCTGCTCTGTGTACTTGGAGGCTGACAGATGAATTGCTTCTGGTGCGTAGGTGATGTTCAATCCCACAAACTGTGTGACATTGTGGTTGATGGTGATGTCAACGCGCTGTGCCAGATTCTCCTTGAACTGATTAAGAAGTTTGTTGCAGGTGCCGGTGTAGAGCAGGTCGTCAACGTAGACAGTCAGTAGGATGTAGTCGGCGTTGAAGTGGAGGATTTCCAGCAGGATTTTGTGTAGATGCTGTTGCGAGAGACGTGGCGCCTGCTTTATCCCGTAGAGGGATTTCTTGAGCTGACAGACCCTGGGGTCTCCTTCCTCGTAGGTGTGCGGCTGCTCCACAAAGATGGTTGCGTCCACCAACGCGTATAAGAACGCGTTCTTGACGTCGATCTGCCGCAGTGGCAAGTGCTTAGCAGCGGCAATGGCGAGTAGAATCCTGACGGAGGTGTGACGACTGACAGGAGCGAAGGTTTGATCGAAGTCGATGCCGTGGCGCTGGTCGTATCCGCGTACGACCCAGCGTGCTTTGAAGCGCTCGATAGTACCGTCAGCGTTAGTTATGAGACTTTCCGCTTAGCACCCTTCTCCCCTTCACTGCTGCATGATCGACTAGAACCCACGTATCGCGTGACTCCAGCACCTTCAGCTCTGCGTCCATAGCGGCGCGCCACTCCTTGGCGTGCGGACCGGTTAGGGCCTGGCGAGGGTTCTTGGGCTCGACGGCCGTGTAAGTGTAGTGACAGACGTGTGTAGGCCGAGAAGCTATAGGCCAGACACATTGGTGGTGTCAGTGATGGTGACTTCTACCACATCATCGTCATCACTTTCATGAGCAGTTGCGGAAGTGCTGGGCTCGGTGTGACGGCGCGATGGTCCTGGTGTGGGGGTGTCGTCGTCATCATCGTCATCGTCGTCGTCGCGCGGGCGAGGCGGAACGTCGGGATGTTCGTCGGTGGGGTCGCGGTCGAGCGCTGCTGCTGCTGCCTCGTCCTCGGGAATTGCAAAGCTGCGACCGTTGTTGGCATAGGCGCGTGCGACGTTGCGACGCTAGAAACATAGTTTGACAAACACCTGTACCAGTAGCGCGTTAAGCTCGCGGCAGCTCGAGAGTCACTCGAAGGTCAACAGTCGCAGGTGGTCAACGGTCGCGATGGTTGACCGCCCAGTAACCGTATTTGGAGGTTACATGATGCAACATGGTACCAGTCAAGAAGAACAATAGTCGCGGTTACTATAGCAATGCAATACAGTTAATAAGGGAATGTACCCCTCATAGTAAATAGCTAGCTATGTTGCTATTTATATCCTTCATCTTGTTCTCTTTCAACTATTACTAACAAGGTCATCATAAGACTTCATTGTCTTCTCACAACTTAGCAAGCCTTATCCTATCCACTACGATTCCCGGTTATATCAAAAATTCCACTAACTCTGAGAGCATCAACCCTATACACCGCACGACTTGTCATTTGATAGGGGTTTATATTATTTTAAGGCGACGACATTAACATTAATTGTATAACAACGACGTCAACCTTCTGAAACATGAACATTCTGGCAATAATGTTTTGAGTTGCTTACGTTATCCCAAGAATTTTGTTTCGCGAATGAAAACGTGAGCCGTTTAGAACAAGTATAAAATGGTTTTTAAACATTGATTTTTCCTCGTTACTATATCGGAAAACCAGTCACAAAGTGCCGTCCTTTGCGCGAAACATCCTACAGCGCGTAGTTTTCCATCCATCACAACCTCCTCTTGTTGACAACCACCATTCCATCCCAGGCTCTGGCGGAGGCAGCAGTCGAGTCGCCAGACAGGACTAGAAATAAGTGTTGGGCGGCGATAAGTTGGGCGTTCAGCGTGTGAGTCGCGAACCGCGATGTCAGAGGCGGCGCCGGCCGCTGCTTCCGATCCGCCCACCTCCATCGCCTCTCCCACCTCGCTTCCGTGAGTTCTCTTCTCAGACGAAGGCCAGTGTGACTGACCGTTGACTGATGATTGACGGACGGTTGACTGACGCTTGACCGACGGTTGAGTGACGGCTGATAGAGGCTGTAATGACGGTTTGCTTCGCGATCCACTGCGAACAGCAGAATCTTATGATCAGCGCACGATCGTGCGCTGTGATATATCCCGCGACTACTAGTTCCTAGTTCAACTTTTGAGTCGACTCAAAAGTCAACACGATCGGGCGCTGCGATGTAGCCTGCGACTAGTTCCTAGTTCAATTCAAGGAAGAGCCCGTTTTCTCCGGCCTTACCGTGTCCCCGCCCCGTCACCCCTTCACCCCGCCATCTCGATCCCTCGTCCCCGCATCCTCCGATCCCCCCCATCTCCCGATCCCCCCCATCTCCCCATCCCCCCATCATGCCCCCCCCCTCATCGCGTGCGCCATCAGGGCGGAGGCGATTCGCCCCGCGCGCCGATTCTCCAAGGCGCCCGACTTCTGGCTGCTCACGCCGCTCCTCTATGCACCGCTCCTACCCCTCAGTACCGATCTCCATCCCTCACTGCCCCCCTCTCGCATCTATCCCCGTGCTTCCCTCTCACTCCTCGTCGACGCACCATTGCTATTACTGCTTACTAGTGTCGTTCAATCAGCCCCTCCCCCCATGCCCTCGCCCCCTCTCACCTCGCTTTACTGCTGGCCCATCGCCCCCTTTCGTCATGCTGATTGAAGGGCCACGTGAAATGAGTGCGTTTTTGAGACGTCTCAAAAACACACTCATTTCGCGTGGCCCCCTTTCGTCATGCTGTTTGCTCTTTTGCATCCGGTGGAACCTCATATCGCCCGCCTACGGCTCTTTGCTCCCCATTGGTCAGGGTCTGACCGTCTCCCCTCCTATGTCTGCAGTTCCTCCTCCCTCTCTCCCACCGTATCCCATCCCTCTGCACTCCCATGCCATCCCTCACCTACCCATGCCGCCCTGCCCGCCCTGTCCGTCCTGCCAGTCCGCATATCGCTGCGCCACAAGCCGCAGCTGAGGGATCGCCTCTTTGCCGCTGCCGTAGGGGGAGCGTTCATGCACGGCGCGTGGTTGAGGTGAGTGAGTGTTGCGTCCTGCACGTGCTGGCTGGCATTGGCTGGATGTGAGTGTGTATCGTGCCTGAGGTTGGTGCTATGAAGCGGCAATTGCTACAAACAACCCTGCCGCTCTCACTCTTCACCTCCCAGCACCTCGCCCTTCCCCTGTATCGGCACTCTCCATGCATGCAGGGCGATCAGTCTTGCTCCTGTTTTCCCATGTTTCGCCTCTGCTGCTCATGCGTCCTCCGTGCACCTCTCACCTGCCCCTCCGCTTCCCCTGTCCTCCTCCCAACCCCCACCGACACTCCTTTCCTGGCTGGCAGCCATCGCTTCTACAACGCGGAGAGCTACACTCAAGCACACAACAGATAGCCACTCTTGCACCCGCCTCTGGCAACCGCCCCTGCAATGCAACCACGCCCTGCTCCCTCCTGCACGCCATCTGCCTGAACCAGTGCTGCACTGCAGATTGAGGTCTTGTGACTCGTGACTCTCTCGCCCTTGGCGGTCACCCATTGTAGCTACCGTAGTGTGCTCTGCTCTTCTGGAGGGACACAACGCAGCCTATGCTGTTGCTGCAGTGATGAATGCCGTATCGCGCATCAGTATTACCAATAAGCCTATGCCTGGTTGGCAGCAGTTCCAGCAGATACCGTAGCACAGAGACCCGTTACGTATTTCTATAATAATAAAGTAATCAATTACCGTACCAGCCGGCACGGTTTGCGAATTGCAATGGCTCATTGCACCTGCAGCACAGGAGGTGGTGCAAAATCTGCCAGGGAGTAACGGAAGCGGTGAGGTGCGCTGAGAGGCAGCAGCGGTTCATGCACACAGAAGCAGAAGAGCCGGCAAGCTTATTGTGCCAGCTGGTGGAGAAAGGTAACTGACCGCCTACAAACAAACATGGGGATGCACTGAACCCAAGGGATAATTCGGACGGCCATGCTGAATCATGCAATTTGGTGTCATACATCTTTTAGGAATACCTACTTCGGGATGGCAAAAAGACGTTGGGATGTTAACAGGGCATGGGGATGATACCAACACGAGGGAGGTGGTGGATGGCAATGCGGGGAGGGACTGCCAATGGGGCTGGCCGGCAGGCTGACAGTTCACTTGTACGTATGTGTCCCTTGCGGGCAGGCAGTGCGACGAGGAGATTGTGCCCACTTGAACTCCAACGCTGGCATCAGTCTGCGCGTGGGTGCGACAATGTGAGATACATACAAGGGTACGAAGCACGTGTGAAAAAAGACCAGAGTAGATGGGAACGTTACACCCCACCTGCCAGGCCCCACCCACCCACCCATGTACCTGCGAGGTCGTTCCCCTTGGAGTGGAATGTTTCTTGCAGCTCAGCGAGCCGATTGAAGCAGCGCTGCTTGTGAGAATTCTCAAAAGCAACCTACCTGCAGATTCGCACCCCACGCACCTGCGAGGTCACCCCCCTTGGAGCGGAACTTGTCTCTCAGCTCAGAGAAGCGCTTGAAGCACCGCTGCTTGGTCTGCCCCGGCACAGCACTGGCCACGCGGTCCCACCGCAGGGGCGTGTCCTTGGGGAACTCCTTCAGCGCCTGCACCAGCGCGCGGTCCTGCGCCTCCGTCCACGTGGTTACCGCGTTACCACCACCCTTGCCCTCTGCCTCTGCCGCGCCCCCTGGGGCGATCCCTTCCTCCTCCCATCTGCTTGTGGGCGCGGGTTCGGCTCCCCCCGCCCCCCCCGCTCCCCCCGCGCCCGCGCTGCTGCCCTTGTGTTGCTTGCGCTGCGACAGGAACGCGGCGTACGCGTCGCGATCCGACGGCTTCTGCAGCGCGACGGCCTTGGCGGATCGGATCACGTCGTCCACGGCGCGCCGCCCGGACCCCACGCCTTTTGCTACCTTCTCCCACCGCTGCGTCGTCCCGCGAGGAAGCTTCACGAGAAGCTTCTTCAGCTGGTCCCACTCCTCGCGCGTCCACTCACTCGTGTCGACGCCTTCGCTCGCGGCGGCGCTGGCGGCGCTCCCGCCGTTGGCGGCGCCGCCGTCTGCGGCGCGTTGGACGGGGAGATCCGCCAGCTCAGCTTCCTGCGGCTCGCGAGCGACCGTGTTCTTGTAACGAGAGGCTGGGGATGGTTCGTCTGCTGGTTGCTCCTCGGCGTGATGGTGTTCTTCTAACGGGGGACCGACACCAACTCGGCAGTCTCCACCTGTCTGTGTGATAGGAGCGAGAGGGCCTATAACGAGGGCGAGCGCGATCCAGATGAGCGCGAACTGGAGGAATCCTGACGTCATGATTCCCGCCGCTAGAAATGCGGCGGCGAATCCGCAGAGGATGAGGAGAACGGGGCGAGAGACCGAGGCGTCTGGATCGAGCTGGTCTTCTGGCGAAACGAACGGCTCAGATGCGAGGCGCATGCGCGGCTTGACGTAATAATCTCCATCATCGAAATCGTCATCCATGGCCGCTGCGTCCCGCTGCTGGCGCGCCGCGCCTAATCACAATTAATCTAAGTTTAGGAGAATCTGTTAGAAGCTGTCCTTTTGGCGGCCAAGGACGAACGAGCTCCCGCTGCTGGAGGCACTAGGCGCGCGAGCCCGCAGAATTGACGCGAAGAGGACGCGGATAGCGGAGACAGCAGCTAGGATTCTCTTTCCCTCTGGAGTCTGGATCGAGGCCTGAACTTGGGTCAGGCTGCTCCAGCTTTCAGGCGGAAGTAGTCCTAGATTCGAAATGAACCACATTTCAACATCTGTTACCGTGCGAACTGACTCAAGAGAGCGAAACGTCGTTACCGTGTGTGCGACTGAGCCAGGATCTCAAGTAGGAGAATTGGCCTTCAATTGCAAAACACTTGCAGCGCTTGTTACCCTATTTTTGTAGGCGAATTGACTGGCTGGTTAGGAAAGTGAGCGTGCGGCACACCCACGATTTTGCCCCTAGAGCAAATGCAAAACATTTTGCTGGTACATGAGATTGTTGTGTGTGACGAGAAATTGCAGGCATTGGAGCTTCGTCACCGAACCAGTTTCCGAGCCTTGCTTGGTTCGGACTGAACTTGCGATTTGTCTTTACTTCGCACCCCTCGCTTCACACCTCGTCAGATTGTTCACCTCGCTAACCAATCGCAGCCCAGCTCCCCTCACCAACTGCAAAACAATTGAACTACTTGAGATCCTGGCTGTGGCAGGCAATTCGCGTCATAAGCCAGGTTCGGAATATAAACAAAGCATACACCAACGACGCCGCTTTATACAATACTAGTTGCCGTTCTTTCACCAACATGCTCTCCCGCGTTGCGCTGTGCAACGACCACGTGTAGGTCACTATCCTTGTTGGCTCACACTACCTGGACTGACCATACGTCCACATCAGAAATTGCTTTCGGGGATTCTCTCGTCACACTCATGTCATCGAACCTGCCACAGTATCGATTATTGGCGGAAGGTTCTGAAACTCTTGGATACAATAAGCGTATTTACAGTACGGTGGAGATCGATGTTGGAAGATTGATCGCCCAATCTATGTATCGTCGAAAGCAATTTCATTGCAGTGTTGACTCCCTCCCTAGCATCACCATCAACCAAGTGGCGCGCCAAGTCAGCAGATTTGTCAACCCTTCCACCAAGCCCTTCTTACCAGAGAAGCTGCCAGGTGTGCTCCGGCGAGTCGCGAAATTTCCTCACAGACTGCAGTGCGCCACAATAAGGGGCAATTGTCGAGCGAATTTGGGCGATTCGGCGGGATATGAATGGTTGGCAGCGCCCTCGAGGCAGCCAAGGCACGGCATGGCGCAAGGCGAGTCGCGAGCCCTCCTCGGTCGAGCCGCCTGTAAGCTGCTTCTTGGCCCGGAATCCGCGTTCGCGAGGCGAAGTAGAGCAACACTCAGCGAGTGGCGGAGCAGGGCCGCGTCGGCGTGGCGTGGAGAACGACTTCGGCGGGTGCCACCAATCTTTCAGCGTCGCTCGGTGCGTCGAGCGTACTCCTAGAAATACAAGGTTGAAGCGCGCGCCTCCCGCCGTTCGACAGACAGCAGCGTGCAGACCTTTCACGTTAACGCCTCCGCAAGAAATAACTCCGCACGCCACCGAAACACACGCCGTGATATTCCCGCGACCTAGTAGAAAGGGTAACACTACTAGTGCTCGTCATCACCGGCGCGCACAGACAGTCGGACTTCACGCGGAACCGCCGTGACCTGCAAGAAGTACCACTGTAACAGCTCCCGCGCCGCGCTCACTTTTCATAGCAACCTCGCCTTGACGACGTGGCGCGGCAAGAAAACGCCACGAGTGTGACTCGCCCTCGCGCTCCCCCCGCCTCCGCCTGCGCCGCCCCGAACCCCCTCGACCCCGCCTCGTCCCTCTGCGACAGCGGAGATGGTAGCGAGGGAGCAAGCCACGGAGGTGCAGGAAGGTGCTTGTAACGGGATGACAGTGCAGGAAGGTGCTTGTAACGGGATGACAGTGCGGGAAGGTGCTTGTAACGGGATGACAGTGCAGGAAGGTGCTTGTAACGGGATGACAGTGCAGGACGGTGCTTGTAACGGGATGACAGTGCAGGAAGATGCTTGTAACGGGCTGACAGTGCAGGACGGTGCTTTTAACGAGGTGACAGCTCAGGAAGGCAGTGCTATTGCAGGCGGGGCAGGAGCAGAGGGCACATTATTCAGAGCGCTGGAGGCGGAGGAGGTGCGCAGGCAGGGTCACCGCATGGTGGAGTTCATTGCAGACTATCTGCAGGGCGTGGGGGACAGACCAGTGTGCTCCACCGTGCAGGTGAGCCACGTGTGTCCTGCCGTGCCATGCCTTACCATGGCATGGCACGGCATGCTATAGCGCGCCGTGCCTTGCTGTGCTTTTCTGCACGGTGCCATGCCATGCCGTACCGTACGGTGCCATGCCATGCCATGTCGTACGGTGCCATGCCATGCCATGTCGTACGGTGCCATGCCATGCCATGTTGTACGGTGCCATGCCATGCCATGTCGTACGGTGCCATGCCATGCCATGTCGTACGGTGCCATGCCATGCCATGTCGTACGGTGCCATGCCATGCCATGTCGTACGGTGCCATGCCATGCCATGTCGTACGGTGCCATGCCATGCCATGTCGTACGGTGCCATGCCATGTTATGCCACGCTCGCAGTTGACAGCACTTGGCAGCAGCATCGCATGCAGGGCGGTTGTGAGAGAGTAAGGGCGGTTGTGAGGGAGTAAGGGCAGTTGTGAGAGAGTAAGGGCAGTTGTGAGAGAGTAAGGGCGGTTGTGAGAGAGTAAAGGCGGTTGTGAGAGAGTAAGGGCGGTTGTGAGAGAGTAAGGGCGGTTGTGAGAGAGTAAAGGCGGTTGTGAGAGAGTAAGGGCGGTTGTGAGAGAGTAAGGGCGGTTGTGAGAGAGTAAGGGCGGTTGTGAGAGAGTAAGGGCGGTTGTGAGAGAACAGGCACTGGTGGAAGAGGTGGAGGAGAATTGCGTGAGTGCACCCGCGGCATGCAGCAGGGCTGGTCGCATGCGGTTACCAGCAGTTGTGAGCACACCAGACGCACTCATTCTCCTGCACCCCCTCCCTCTCCTGCAATCCCACTGCAACGCATCCCACTGCACTCCATGCTCTGTGCCCGCTAACCACACTGCCCACGCCCCCGAGCATGGCGAACCACTGGACGCCATTCTCTCAGGTCATGCGCGCTCCCTCTCGCCCCCATCTGTGTTCCGTCGCCTTGGCCCCACCTGTGTGCATTCCTCCATCTTCCTTTGAACCACCTTGCCCACTCCCCTCCCTCGCTGCCTGCCCCTACCCTCCCACAGGTATCTCGCACCTGTAATTCCCTCCCTTCCACCCACTGCCACACCCACTTTCTTCTCCCTCAACGCACTCCTCGCCCCGCACCCCTCGTCGCCCCGCACCCCTCCTCGCCCCGCACCCTTCCTCTCCATCCCTCCACCCCCCTCTGCACCGCACAGACATATCGAGCGCCATCCTGCCGGGCCTGACGCACTGGCAGAGCCCGGCCTTCTTCGCCTTCTTCTCCTCGCCCACCAGCGCCGCCGCCATCTGTGCTGATGCCCTCATCAGCGCCCTCAACGTCGTCGGCTTCTCCTGGGCCGCTGCCCCTGCGGCGACTGAGCTGGAGGAGGTCGTTATGGACTGGATGGTGGAGTTGCTAGGGCTTCCCGATGGGTTCCACTCGGTTAAGTCAGGTGAGGGGTTGAGCGGGGAAAGGGGGGGGTCATCAGTGCACCAACGACCTTATCAGCGCCCTCATCAGCGCCCTCATCAGCGCCCTCATCAGCGCCCTCATCAGCGCCCTCATCAGTGCCCTCAACGCGGTGGGCTTCTCGTGGGCCGCTGCTCCTGCTGCCACGGAGCTCGAAGAGACTGTCATGTCCAGATGGGTTCCACTCGGTGAACTCAGGTGAGGAGGGGTAGGGTGGCTTCTCCTGAGCTGCTGCCGCTGCTGCCATGGAGCTGAAGGAAATTGTGATGGACTGGATGGTGGAGTTGCCAGGACTTCCTGAGAGGTTCCATCGCTCAAGTCACGTGCGGTGGGGTAGGGTGGGGTGGGGGGTGATGATGGGAGGTGGGGAGAGAGGAGAGGGGGGGTGAGGTCGGGGGGAGTTAGACGAGGGAGAGTGGCGCATTGTGGCAAGCTCTTCACTCAGTTGCTTGTTTGAACGTTCAGCCTAATCAGCACCCTAATCAGCATCAGCATACCTTAGATTGTGCACACTTGCGTCCTTCCTTTAACCCCCCCCCCTCAACATACTGGGCCGTGCATGTCACTGTTACTGTGGCTGGTGGCGTGGCAGGCGGGCAGGGAGGGGGGGTGATTCACGGCACGGCCAGTGAGGCGCTGCTGGTGGCGCTGCTGGCCGCCAGGCGGAGAGTGCTGGACCGCGTGGTGGGGCAGGCTGGTAGTGTGGAGGAAGCGGCAGCAGATTCAGCAGCAGCAGCAGCAGGCAGCAGGCAGGGTGCTCAGGAGGAGAATCGGGCGGCAGAGGGGCGGCTGATAGCACACCTTAACGAGGAGGAGAGCAGGCTATAGTGTCATCACGGAATGGCAGGCAGGGGTGCAACGGGAGCGTGGGGGTGGCACATGAGGAGTGGCCGGCGGACGCTGCAGGCGATGGGGATGGCGATGGCAGTGGGGCTTGTGTTATTGGTACCACCAGTAGCACTGGTGCAGGTGCTGGTCAGGCTGGCAGCACCAGTGGTGGGGCGGCTGCTGCCAGCAAGGCTGCTGCTGGTGCGTGTGAGCAGGGAGAGGCTGCCGGGGCCCCGTGGGGCAGTGCGGAGGACAGGGCAGCACAGTGTCTAGTGGCATACGTGTCGGATCAGACGCATGCATGTGCACTCAAGGCGTGCCGTGTGGCAGGCATACCCGAGGGCAACGTGCGTGTGCTGCCCACCACCGCTGCATCGGCTTATGCCCTCACTGCTCGGCAGCTGTTGGATGCGGTGCAGAGGGATGAAGCTGCTGGCCTCATTCCCTTCTTCCTCGTCCTCACTGTAAGTGGGAGGTGCCTCGTTCTCCTCTTCCTCGCTCTCATTGTAAGTGGAAGGTACCTCATTTCTTACCCTTCACATGTTATGATAAACCACCTCGCGCATGAGGTGTTGCTTGTGTGCATGTGTACCTGTGCTACATTTCCATATCGCCCTGTGCTCGTCCTCATATCAACCCCTCTGTCACTGCCAATGACTCATGCATCCAGTCCATGCCTCGTACCTGTTCTGCTCCTCTGCCACGTCATGGCAGGTTGGCTCCACGTCATCCACTGCTGTTGATCCAATCGCCCCTCTGGCCGCCATCGCAAAGGTGAGCTTTGATATGCCCTCTTGCCATGCCACGCCACACCATGCCATGATATTCCATGCCGTGCCATGCCATCCCATGCCATGCCGTGCCATGCCATCCCATGCCATGCCGTGCCATGCCACACCATAACACTGATCAATGCCATGTGATGCCATGCCATGACACGCCACATGTGGGCTCATACTCAGCTGCATCGGAACGTACCCTTTATCCCCCCCTCGTCTTCCCTCCTCTGCAACCACGTGCACAGGCACATGGCATGTGGGTGCATGTGGACGCAGCGTATGCAGGCATGGCATGCATGTGCGCTGAGATGAGGCACCACCTGGCAGGCGTGCACCTGGCCGACTCACTAGCGTCCAACGCCCACAAGTGGCTGCTCACCAGCTTCGACTGCTGCTGCATGTGGACGCAGGTACGTGCGGCCAGTGGGAGGGGAGGTGGGAAACCTGGTAGCTGCGAAGCGGCTGCAGACAGGAGGTTTGCATGGTTGCGGTGGTGCTGCTGGGTGGGGAATGTACCTTCTCTATGTTGGGGCAGATGATACCCTACGTGTTTGCGCTACATGCACTACGACCCACTCCATTCTACACCGCACCACTTTGCAACACACTGCGCCACAACCCGTTTCACCTCACCATGTCCCCATGCCCATGCTCATGCCCATGCCCATGCCCATGCCCATGCCCATGCCCATGCCCATGCCCATGCCCATGCCCATGCCCATGCCCCACCAGGACAGCAGGCCTCTGGTGAAAGCACTGTCCATACTGCCGGAATACCTGCGGAACAAGGTGCGCTCGTACGCTCTGTAGTGCTCATCGAAGTGAGCTCTTACTTTGCACTGTGCTCTTGTGCGCTCTTATCACAACATTCCCTTATTGCACTGTAGTCTTACTGCAGTATGCCCTTATCACAGTATGCCCTTATCACAGTATGCTCTTTCGCAGATTACTCATGTGCATCCACATGAGTACACACACTACCTCTTTCCTCGCCTCTCCTCTCCTCTTCTCTCTCCCTGCATGGCAGGCATCAGAGAACCATCACGTGGTTGACTACAAGGACTGGGAGATCCCCATTGGCCGCCGCTTCAGGTGTGCCCCTCCCCTCCCCTCATGCACCTGCCCGCCACAGCTGCACGCAGTGGGTTTGTCTCATTCCATTCTGCATACAATCCTGAAATCCCCGATCCATATTCATTTCAATTCCTTCTCTCTGGTTAACTTTTTTTTTTTTTTTTTTTCTAAGCCTACTTCCGCTCTGTCCAATTTGCTCACCACCATGCCCATGCCCATGCCTATGCAATGTCCATGCACATGCAGTGCCCATGCCCATGCCCATGCCCATGCCCATGCCCATGCCCATGCCCATGCCCATGCCCATGCCCATGCCCTTGCCCACGCCACAACCGCCACCCACCGCCCCTCCCTTGCAGGTCTCTGAAGCTGTGGATGGTGCTGCGCACGTACGGGGCGGATGGTATCCGTGCATACATCAGGCGCCACGTGGCACTTGCTGAGTGGTTCGAGGAGGCTGTGCGGCAAGATGATCGGTTCCAAGTGAGCTGCACTGCTTCATGTTATCACTCTCTCCATGCATCGCCTGGGCTACCCTCTCACACACCCTCTCACACACCCTCTCACACACCCTCTCACACACCCTCTCACACCCTCTCACACACCCTCTCACACACCCTCTCATGCACCCTCTCACGTACCCCTGTTCCTCAGGATGATGCCACCTCTCTTTCTCCCCCAATGCCCACTTCCCCCGTGCCCTTCAGCTGATGGCTCCGCGCCCCTTCACGCTCGTCTGCTTTCGCCTCAAGCCGCCCGCAGCTCGGACACACAGCGGGGTGCCGTGCGGAGGGGGGGACGAGGGGGTGATGGGCGATGGCAGTGAGGATGCAGGGAGGAAGGTGAACGCGGCGCTACTAGAGGCGATAAACAGCAGCGGGCAGGCGTACCTCACACACACTGTGCGTCCTGACCACGTTGCTGCATGCTTCTCCATTCCTTTAATTTACCACACATTCTTGAGGCTCCTCCTCAGAAGCACCTCACACACGCTGTGAGTCCCGCACCATGCTGCTGCGTGCCTCGTTCAATCGCCTGCATCTAAGAGCAGGGGGCACTTAACCCTTCAACCTGCCTCCCTGTGACCCCGTGCAGGTGCTATCGGGGCAGTACACACTGCGCATGGCAATAGGGGCGGTGAAGACAGAGATGGCGCATGTGCAGGCGGCATGGAGGCTCATCCAAACGAAAGCTTCTGAGTTGCTGGAGGAGGTCAAATTTACTAGAAAAAAACAAAACAAACCTACTACAGTAAGAGATGCGACAGCAGGGTAATAAGTTGCATTGGTGAATGAGCAGAATCTTGTGTAAATGTACCAAGTAGGGACAACTGTGAACTTTGTTACAAATCAGTAGGGCAGGGCCCAAATTATTAGGGTAAAATACCCTTTTTACCCTGATGAGCGGCCGCTTTTTCCCAGTTACCCTTGCCAAAACATGGTATCAGAATTTTTACCCTAGAGCAAAAAGGCTAAGTTACCGTAAGCCCCCGGATAGAAGCGCAGGCCTCGGATAAGCGCCGGCGCTTATAAAAGGATGAGGACGTTTATATCTGGTCCTCGATTATAAGCGCACCCCTGAAGGCTTACGGATTATAAGCGCCACCCTCTTCTTTTTTTAATACAATTTTACTGAAATCGTTGTAACGAATTCAACATTTGCATTCCCACATTGAATTTCGATGCCCTTTCACCTTCGCTCGGCTCACTGGCAGCTCGTGCAGTCAGAATGAGCTACCGGTATCAAGGACGCATGTTGACTCATTCTGACTGTGTGTGTTGGCAGGGAATCAATCCCTGCCAGCTTGCACGCGACATTCTCAATCAATCACAGCCCTGTATACCGTATTCCCCCGGACAAACCACCCCCCCGTAATTGTACACCCCCCCGGGTAGCTTGTGCAGGGTGGGTGTTATGATAGACCTCGTTTCTACTATACCCCCTTTTTGGCTGATTTTCTATAACACCCCCCTTTTCTTACGAATTCGTTATTATAGTCGTTAACGAGTAGCTGCGATACGGAAGAATATCGCGAAAATTTATCCTTAGATGAAATTTCGTGGTACGGTACATTCACTTACAATCTACCGAGATTTCCCCCTTCCCACTACTTCGCTGTCGCCACGTGCAGGCGAATCTTCCGCTGCAATTGGCAAGAGAGGTACCACATGGCATTTTCGTGGGGGTGATGAAGTTCGTGGCCGAAACTCACATTCGCGCAGGCCCTCAGATTCGTTTTTTGCCTGTCTGATTCGTCAGACTAGTACACAGTTTTAGTCTGAGAATCTCAGACTTGGTATAGAAAGAAGGCTGAAATTTCAGAGTGTCTTAAAACAAAAGTCTGATCTTTCAAAATCAATGTATTCAATGTTTCATCGGAAATGTATTCAATGTTTCATTCATCTGCTATCGAAACATGTTCTGACAGGGCGAATATATGTGTCAGGGCGAATCTTGTGGTGCGAATGGGCGAATCTGCAATGTCAGGGCGATTTTGCTGTGATTGGGCGAAGAGTGTTGTACTCTGACAGCGCAAATCTGTTGTGTCAGGGCGATTTTCCTATGATTGGGCGAAAATCTAGTGCTGTAAGACTCGGATTTGCTGTGTCAGGGCGATTTTCCTATGATTGGGCGAAAATCTAGTGCTGTAAGATGTCAGAATCTAGCAGCAGGAATGAGTGAACTATGAGAGAATGAGGTACAAATATGAAACCCTAATGTGGGCTGTACCCCATATTGGCTACCCCACTACAGTCTAAGCATATGTAGCATATATATCATTTGACACACCCCCATAGGCAAAGTGGGGGAGAGCAAGGGGTCACAAGACCAGTCAAGGGAAGCAAAGCAAGCTCAGGGTGGATCACAACGTCACCACACACACTGAGCACAAGCAAAGGGCCACAAGGCCAGTTCACATGCAGAGGTTTATATGCAACAACAATAGCACAGTGATCTCTACCTAGCAGAGCAAGCAAGCAGGTATATATATAGATCACAGTACAAACAAAGTCCACAGCAAGTGAGGAAAAGTGGGCACAAGGCCTAACAAAGTGCAAAAACGCTGATGATCACCAGACGGAAGTGCCTTGGTGAATATATCAGCGGTGTTGGCCTGAGTGGCCACGTAACGCAGACGAAGCTGACCACGCTGCTGCAGCTCTCGAGCCAGGAAGTAACACAGAGCGATGTGCTTCGTTCTGTGCTCCAGTCTGTGCTCCTCACACAAGGCAATGGCAGCCTTGTTGTCGACGTACAGCACTGGAGGAGAACGAGGCCGCTCTCCCAAGTCGGTCAGCAGGTAGGTCAGCCAGCGTAGCTCCTGTGCAGCCATGGCTGTGGCGTAGATCTCAGCCTCACAACTGGAGCTGAGAACAGAAGACGAGCGTGTAGAACGCCAAGAAACTGAACCAGAGCCAAGGCTGAAGGTGTAACCCTGTGACGACCGCTGCGTAGCCTGGTCGTCAACTCAAGAAGCGTCTGAGTGCCCAGTGAGGACAACTGCGGTCCGCCCTCCAAGCACGAGCCCCATGCCCGATGTACCGCACAAGTAGCGCAGTACCCTCTTCGCAGCATCCATGTGCACCTTTCGGTGCCGACCAGGAGCCACGTAGCGAGCCAGAAGGCCAAGAGGGTACGCGAGGTCAGGACGAGTGCAAGTCATCAGGTACATGAGGCAGCCTATTAGCTCTGGGTAAGGACCACTCAGCTCTACGGACTCGTCCGAAGGTGGAGCTGAGAGCGAGTGACCTGTAGCCAGAGGAGTCGGCTGTGCTGAGGACCAGGTGAAGCCGAAGCGCGGAAGGACCTGCTGCACCATGTGTGACTGAGTCAGTGTGATGGTGCGGCGTGCTCTGTCCCGGGTGATCCGCAAGCCAAGATAGCTTGTCAGCTCACCCAGGTCTGTGCACGTGTGTCTCTTCTGCAGCTCGGACTTCACGTGGGCGAGAGCCTCATTGTCAACAGTGGCAAAGACCAAGTCGTCAACGTACACGAGGATGTAGAACGGCGGCAGCGACATGTCGGTGCCCAGAAACAGCGACGGGTCAGCAGTCGACGGAGCAAACCCAAGAGCCGCAAGTGTAGTCCTCAGTGTGTCGTGCCACTCACGTGGTGCCTGGCGGAGACCGTAGACTGGCCGCCGGAGGCTCCACTGGGTACCAAGAGGGAACGACACAGTGAAGCCAGGAGGGCGGCGCAGCCAGATCTCCTCGTGCAGGCTGCCTTGTAAGAAAGCTGTGCTGAAGTCAAGAGAGTGAAGCTCGTAGTCACGCTGAGCGGCGACGTGCAGCAGCACCCGAAGAGTGGTCATCTTCGGGGTGGGGGAGAAGGTCTGAAAGAAGTCTACTCCCTCTCGCTGACTGAAGCCTTGAGCAACGTAACGAGCCTTGAAGACAGGCGGAGAACCTGGCGGCCGCTTCACCCTGAAAATCCACATGCCACTGACGATGTTAGCCCCAGGAGGGGGAACCTCGTCGACGTAGGTGCCTGTGGACTTCCAGGATGCCATCTCTGCGTCCATGGCTGTCTGCCACTGAGAGGAGTACTCACCCGCGATCGCCTCAGCGTAAGAGCGCGGGGTCGGGATGTCTGGAGCATACGGGTCTCCCTCAGGGGCAAGCAGCATGGACACGAGGTGAGGCGCAGCGGCTGCAAGACACTCAAGGTCCTCCTGCCTGTCCTCAAGGACGTCCGTGCCAAGAGCACACTCACCCCCGACGGACGGAGGACAGACAGACTCAGACTCAGCAACAAGACTAGCAGCGTAGTCTAGACGACAGGCAGCAGCAAAGTCTACAAGCTCAGCAACAAAGGCAGACGCAGCAGCAGACTCAAACGACGGGTTAGTGACAACTGTGGCTAGCAGACGCGTGACAGTAGAGTGAGCAGCACGGGTGCGGTCAGACTCAGGCTCAGGAACGGTAGGCAGAGAAGACGCAGGAGGGGACGGCAGGGGGACACGCTGCGGAGGAGAGGAGTGACGACGAACTACGAGGTGGGTGCCGGGGACAGCTGGCTGACGCGAACGAGGAACACGATGACCGGAACTACTAGAACGGACAGGCGAGACAGGACGCGACGCAGGCTCACGACGCTCAATAAAACCCCTTGTCTGCTCAGTGTAAGGAGAAGGAGCAGGCAGCGGTGAGCCAGGCTGTAACGGAAGACCAGTAGACGAAGGGAGACTATGAACCTGGCGAAGCACAGAGTCAGGCGGTGGCTGAAACGACGGAGACGGTGGAGCGAAGAACAGGCGCGGCTGTGCAGTGCCACCAGCACCAGCAGCTCCAGCACCCCCAGAAGCTCCAGCACCTCCAGCAGCTCCAGAACCCTCAGCGCCAGCTCCTCCAGGACCAGCTCCACCAGCAGCAGCACCCTCAGAACCAGCACCTCCAGTCCCAGGGTCTCCAGCCTCAGTGTCTCCAGCAGCAGCACCCCCAGACCCAGGGTCTCCAGCAGCAGCACCCTCAGGCTCAGCAGCACCTCCAGCCCCAGCAGCTCCAGTACCTCCAGTACGAGCACCTCCGGGACCAGCACCACTCCCAGCTCTAGTGACGACAGCAGAAACACCTCCAGCGGCAGAGCCCCGAGCTCCAGAAACGCGACCCTGACGGCGACCGTACCAGTCATGCAGCTGCTATGAGGTGAGAGGCACACGCGGACGAAGGCGGCTACTCCAGGGAGACCGCGCAACAGCAGGCTCAGAACTCTCAGCGCCAGCACCCGCAGCAGGTCCAGAACCTCCAGCGCCAGCACCCGCAGTAGCTCCAGAACCTCCAGCGCCAGCACCCGCAGCAGCTCCAGAACCTCCAGCGCCAGCACCCGCAGCAGCTCCAGAACCTCCAGCTCCAGCACCCTCAGCAGCTCAAGACTCCGCACCCCCAGGCTCCGCACCTCCAGG